AAGGCGTTCCGTCGGACGTCCGAATGAGCCAGTTTCCTCTGCAGTTTGAAGGGATGACCACGCAGACGGTCAGTCTCGGCCAATTCGAAGAATTTATTAAAGTCTAGGGCGCACTCACGGCCCAAAGACCCAGTCAGGCATATGCGTCCCCACGAAAATCTTCGATAAAACTACACTCCATATCCATCATCATACCTTGCTCTATGTGCCCACACACGTTCCTAGGTCACGTATGAGGCCTCCACACGTGTCAAACACCGTAAAAATCATGCGTCTTTCCTGCGGAAAGGATGGCTGTCGCCATCATGGTCGAAGCGGCTTCGCGCATCAGGATTTGCACATCTCCTGTAAATTGAAAGCGCGTTCTTCAATGTATCCTGGCAACTTAAATAAGCAGGTCGTGGACGTAGACGAGATTTTGCGGTTCTGCCAGCCACTGCGCCCAATTTAATCATTAGCCGTTTGACAGAGTCGGACAGTCGACTGGTGCATAATAGAGGAGGGAGTGAGATCGACATTGGGGGAACCTGTGCCATGGTATATCGGAGCGTTCCTCGCTATAGCAAGCTGACTTTCTTAAACTATCAAGATGCGCTAAGAACCGTGGCTAAGAAGACTGCCAAATAACAACGTCGCTCGGTCGTCCAGGACGGAGAGCAAGATTGCAATGGCTCATTTCGAATGTGGCCGCCATGGCACTCCCATTCCGATGGGGTCGGAGTCGCCCCCCTTTTTTGTTTCCGTGAGAACTCGGTAGTCAGCGCGGACGTGGTGTACGTAATACGTCCGAATGAGCTGCTTGGCTTTGTCAACCACTGCGTCCGATCCCACCTAGGTCGTCTTGACATTGTTTTGGCATCGGAATCAGATTGGTGAGGAAGGGAGTGTGGCAGATGCTGCGTAAGCCTTCTATCAATATAAATTAATTCATGCGCAAGTCAACGCTCCTGCGTGCACCTTGTTGTGGGGATAACGGTAAAAATCGTCGTTGGCGGCGGGCGAACTGACATGTGTTCGTGGAGCTACTGGCTGGCAGGCTCTGTGGCCCCTCCTTAATATGGCTTTTACGGAACCCTCATGCATGTGAAACTCGAGCCGCCCTCATTTCACGATAGCCTAGTGAATTGCGCGGAGGAATCAGGTGGTGTGTGGCACGGGTAGAGGGGCTATTGAATCCTGCCAGCCATTTGCGCCCAACCCTAGCGCCAGACGGTTGTCTTGTGCATTGAAAATGGAGGAGATAAAGGCCGACACGGGTGAATTCATCCACAGCACGCCTCAGTGCACTCCTCACCGTAATAAATCTGGGGCGTGGCCTGAAATATTGCCAACTGAGGCTATAAGTTCAGCCTCGTTATCATTACTGTGTTTGTAGAGTGGCTGGCTAAAGGACTGACCGTCAGAGCCGGCGGCGGTCGGACTGACGTGTATTTTTGGAGCGACTGAATGGCGGGCACTGTTGTGTGCAGGCCATAATGCTTAGCTGGTGGCCCGGTCTACAATTCTCCGCAATCGAATCCAAAAAATAGAATTCAACAGCAAGGGTGAAGAACGCGGGTCTCTGGCTGAGTTCCTAACAACAAAATCTGATGATAAAGGGTATATACAGAGTGTCCAATGGAGGCTTGCAACTGAGCCAATCAGATGATGCCTTGATCTGTGAGCATGTGAACTGGTCTTCTGACTCATCTGGGAGCTCCTCAAATCCTGCCGGTGGCTGGCGCGATCTCAACACGCTCACGCCGTGTGGGCGGATCGATAGGACAGCATGTGGGTGCGTCGTTAGGGCGACATGCGAATGGGTTGGTTAGGACGGCCTCTCCCAACAGACGGAGTCCGGCTCTATGGCTCCCTAATGCGACTCTGACGACACTCTCAAACACGTTATATCCAAGCCGCCCTCGGTGAGAACGGTGAGAGCATTCTGCTGGAACCAAATCGTGCGTGGCACGGGTTGTCAACCACTGCGCCCGATCCCGCCTCCGGTCGTCTAGACTGTGTCTTGCTACAAGGCCCAGGAGGGTGATCGAGGTGTGGGCAAGGCAAATGCTCTGCAAGACTGCCCAACTACGACTGGATTCACGCTCAGGCCATCGGTGCTGCGTCTTAACCGTGGAGCATACGGTGGAAGTCGTCGCTAACGACTGTCATACTGTGGAGACCGTTGTTTCCTACGAACGAGTCTTAGTGAATTCGGCATGCCGACTCAAGGGTCTTCATGACAGTATTGTGAATCGTCTCACGTAGTCTAGCGTATTTGTTTCCAATATATACACTCCTTCCGAGGCAGTTTGCAGCCTAGATAATCGTTGTCCGGGAACGGCCTCCTCGATATTTATGTTAAGCTTACTTGAGGCTACATTTCTCTGAAGCGCCTCCATAGTTTTCCCTGAAGTTCCATCTTGGTCATAATTAGGCGGTTGTTAGTTCGCCTTTCGGTATCGCACATCGCCCTTTTCGCCAGCGCGTTATGGTGACATCTTATCACCACTATCCTATAATGCGGCAATCGCGGTTGATGCGACCGTGGATGCACCCTCGAGACTGTCCTTTGACCGCAGAGACCGAAAGTAGTATGAGCTGTGAGGAAAGTGCGCTGTTTTCACTGGTATTCACGTCGTAGTGACCGAACATTCCCTCCTATTTGATGCGATAAGCGCTATGAAGCCCCTGAAATTAACAAGCTTGTACGTCCTAGGCACAGACGCGAAGCAGTGCAGGCTACGCGGAATCCGTGTTTCATGGACCCAGGCGCGTAGACATCAAGAAGTGCAGTGACAGTTTTCCACTAGGTACGATAACCTCGCAGTGGCTACTTTGTCGTTAATTCCATGCGTGAGAAATGCCGTCTTGATCAGCTCCTTATTAACACTGAAGATGACTCCAGCATCGTGCCGTTCTTCCTTGTGACGGCCGCTCCGAGTGAAAATACACCCTCTCCCTATATCGTTCAGCTGCTCTTGTTTCAGCAGGCAAGTGCTGCTGAGGGTAACGACGTCCACGATATATCTGGCGAGTTCTTTTGTCATCCGAGTTGGTTGTTCGGTTGTCTTAAGAAGGAGGGACCTCCCAAGTTCTGCCACTCATATGAGGACGAATTAACGGCTGCTCCTGTGATGCTTCGTCCGAGTATATCACATCCGACGGTCACGATCAGCTGTGTAGACGAGCGCAATCAGTTCCCTAATGCATCTTTAAGAGCACATTCCCCTAGAAGACCCAGTAAGTACTCCCAGGAGTAGCGCCGCCTACACACTACAGGCAGCCGCCAAACTCTACCATGGCTCACAAGTAGAGTGAGGGAATAACTTGAGGTAGTCCGTGTGATGGAGCAGAAGACAGCGACTGACCTAGTGCAGTCTCTCCTGAGCGTGCCCCGAAACGGCTTGTCCTTTTCGACTGACCGAACCAGACTGGGCACACGTGGTCGGGAGAAGTGGGCAATAAGCAATCGCCTTTGTTCAGTTTAGTCCGCCGGTGGCGGTTACTGGAGTGTGGTCGCTGTGCTGAACGCAGCTTTGTGAAACCAGACGGAAGCCGAGTGCCAAGTAGAAGTGAAATAGCCACCTGGTGGAGCACAGCACACAGAGTGACCGCCACCCCAAAGTGGGCATTCTGTACTGCAGAATGCGCAAACAGTAATGACAAAGTCCAAACCGCCAACTTTCCTCATGCGGTACGCCAATGTCCCATTGAAACAAGCCTGGGTGAAAAGCTGTAAATTAACATGATCAGTGAAACTAATGTCCATCTCTAGCATAACAGCCACCACCAGTCATCTGTGTACAGGCCTCTGTTGAGGAAGATCTCGAAGCCGAAACTAAACAAGTCATTAGAGCTGGCAATGTGGCCAAAGTAGCGCCCACGGCCCGGCAGCCGCGGACAATCGGGCCACGTGGTGACGGGGTTCATGGACTTGATCACCTTTTCCGAGTAGCGTTTTCCGTATATTTGGCCGATATATAAACTGAAAATGCATCGGCGTGATATCACCGTACTAGCAAAAATAACTAGTCGCCATTCCTAAATGGTGACTATCGGGCAAGATAATAGGGCCTTTCGATGTGACACTCCACGCAGCCCTGTCAACTTTTGTCTCAAGAAGTCTCACACCTCGGAAAGCATAGCTGAATTGATACCGATATCGCGGTGACATAAGCGCAATGCGAGGGAGCGGGGACATGAGATAGCCGGCGGTCAATATCAGGTAGAACACTGACAGAAAAACGAAGTACCGGGCACTCGACCTTAGTAGATAGTCCATGCTGCTTGGTAGCGGGGACCACCCGATGGAAGGCAAGGATAAACCAACAACACTCCATCCTGTCTACGGATGGACCCTCTAGTAAGCGCTACCGAGCTTTTCGTCTTCCCTTGTGGATCCCATGGCCATACTAGTCGCTGACCTCGACAGCGTTAGTGCCCCTCCTGACATCTGTATAACTTCTATGTCCAACCCCCGAATATCCAGAACAGATCGGCCAGGCACCCCGGTTAGGGCCATACGCCAGGACCGGCCCCACAGGAAAAAACTTATGTCGAATAATGTGTTCTATTCTGCGCCGAATAGTAGGCGACCGCCCTCTCTGGCTCCAAGCTGGTCGCCAATCGCTCCTCCATCAAACGACTGCACACCCGACTGTCGTCCGCATGTGAAAGCGTCCCGACGACAAAATTGCCTCATGAGTCCATCGCGCCTAACTCCGGCCCTGACTGGCGACACTGAGGTGAGACGCGAACACACGTGGTAGGATCTGGCCTCAAGCGTACCCCATACATTGAAGAATTCTATCATCATAACCAGCGCGCCGAAAAGCCCGTTTAAAGCGGCTCTCCGATGTGTGATTAAACAGCGACATAAAGACTGCAGCATCAGTTATTTTGGACGCCACTATAAGTGATGAAGCAGGTTAGTAAGGCAGACCTATTTGGAGGATTTTTAACGTTCGCGTATGAAAAGGCGGAAATCCATTGACGAATCATTTATATACGAAGAAAAACTACTTAAATACAGCAAGTTCACAAGGCTTCTTGCCGTCGAAATCACCCTCTCTGAGGAAGTATTCGCTGACAAGGGTCTTAGTCTCGGCGGCCTCGGGATCCAGTTTGGTCCATTTGTAAGACTCGTAGTCGATTTGGAAATCCTCACTCAATTCGAAGGCCAAGCCAGTACCACGCCAGACCCAAACGCCGGAGATTGTGCTGTTGTTGTTCTCTCCGAAAACGCCCATCACAGCGAAAGCGTACTTCGCCATCCTGCAAAAATCGAAATTCCAATAGTGGCTGATGCACCTACGAAGGCTTCGGCGATCCGAGTGACGGCGTTACACCAAGAACTTGGACGGTGTCCATCAAAAAACGTTAAGCATGCAAGCAGAACAACGTCAGTACTATCACTCGTGTCAACAAAGTGCTCACCTCTCAAGTCGCTGGAACATTCCCTGAATAAGGTTGGCCGACATGAAAGTAAGTCTCAGTTCCTCTGGATAACTATACTCGCAGTACCAAATTGAGTCGGTCTTCGGATCAAACTTTTCCCAGAAGAATGGCAACGCGACAGACTTGATGTCCTCATTGCAATAGGTGCGTTTAAAAGTATCGTAGTCGAAGGTACCAGCAGGAAGTGAGGCGAAGGGGTTCTTTGAGGGCTTGGGCGCCGGCTCATCCATCTCTTCGTCCAGATTGACATCCTGCTCCTTGGGCTTCTGCTGTTTTTCTTTCTTTTGCGGCTTCGCCTTTTCTGCTTTTGCCCCTTTCTTCCCATCTCCCTGAAAAATTCGGTTAAGTCGCTCTTCTGAATTACCTTCGGCATCTGCTTTTCATGACTCTTTGGGTCATAAACGGCCGCCTTCTTACAGAGTTTGGGAGCGCCAGCAACTTTGAGAACTTCTGGCTGATTAGCGAGGGTCATAAACCACCGATTGAAGTGGGGGTACGGCTTAAGAGCATCCTCGTCGAGCACGTGCTCAAAAAGCATGCACGCAACGCTGTACAAGGTTAAGTCAGCCTGAGTAATCGATTCACCAACGAAAAATGTCCTAAAGCCTCTGATTTGCTGTCAGTGTAATGTTACCTTGAAGAAAGATATTCATTCAGGAAAGAAAGAGCTCTGTTAACGTTTTCATGCGCTTTCGTAGCCTGCTGCTTGTTGTAGGCAGTAGCCCCGAGTATGGGGTACAGCCAGACAGCAACAGAGGGCAGAAGAATGTGATCTGTAAAGTTTACCCACTGTGTGACAAAGTGCTCCTGGTCGCCACCTAGACAATAAGCATCAAACCTGCGAACATACCGCGCAGTTGCTTGTTGCCCAGATAGAAGGCAATGGCGTTCGCATCAAACAGAACTGTACCATCCGCGGCTTCGAACAGAGGAGCTACGTCAGACGGACAGTTTTTAAGGTTTTCTGGTAGGGGTGATTCGCCAGGGCAGTAATCAACCGTCTTAATGTTTGCATGACTGTATGCAGCAGCTAGCTCAGCCCGAAGGCTTTTGTGGTAGGACTTCGGAGAATAGATCGTTCCGGAGACAACCATTTCAGACTGGATCTAGCCTCGACGAAAAACACGCGTCAGCAGCGCAAGTCCAAAAGTGCCGGCCTGTCCAGAAGAAGTGATTAATACAAACAATGACAAACTGGTTTACATAAATATGGACTTTAACAGTGCTTACACACACCAGCAGTGTAATTTGCATTAAAAAAAACCAATATGGGCCACTTTATCGGAAAGTATAAAGGAATATGAAGTGGGTAACAGGTAACTCAGTTTTGCATCAGGAGTAATTACAGACTTGTATCACCTTACCCGTTATCAGACCATCTGTTCGAGGTAAGGGTTATTCGGCTCTCCGATCTTAATGGGTTTGTTGTCTAGGTAAATCATCGTGGAAAACGGTAAACTATGTGACGTGTAATCAAAATAGACGGGAATAACGTGATTACCTTCCTTGATAATTGCCGCCGCGGTACTTTCTCTATCTTCCCCCCAATTGCCTTGGCTCAGTGTAAAGCGGCGGGGGTCGATAGGGCGTCGGAACTTAAAGGGCCGGTTGCCGCGGTTAAATCGCTGTGTAGGCTGATAGTGTGGTCTAGGCCAGGAGCTGTTGTTTTGTTGCCTGCGATCTGGTGCGGTCTTCCCCGATTCAGCTCGAGAGTGATTGTCACCTCTTGGAGCGTCGGTTGTAAACATACGGGATGCCAGCTGGATGGCTTCGTTGAGGTCATCTGATGGCTCCATTCTCAGAGAATACGTTACCTCTTCGGACCCGAGGCCGCGTTTGAAGTGGTAAAGAACCACTTGGTCTCTATCAGCCGCCGACAGTGAGGGTAGGCGTCGCGTGCGAGCCGAAGCAAGGTGTCGACAAACTGCCGAGGCGTTTCATCGCTCCTTAATAAACGTTTTAGTAATTGGTCAATTGCTTCCTCTATGGACAACAATTGGGCAACAATACTCGAGAATTAGAAGTACGAACATTCGATAAAGTCTTAATCTAGTTTCAGGAAGTTAGAAATTGTGGGAAATAAAGCAACAAATTTGGGCAGCTTTGGCCGTGATTCTGTTAGCGTGCGGCGAGAGATCAAGACTTTTGGTATTGCTAAAACCTAAGTCCTTATGTTGGTACATTTAGTCATATGTGTTCCTTGAAAGACCAATGGATGGGGTAACTTATCAGGTCCAAAACACATAGCGACATTAAGACTGGAAGAATTCAATTCGCCATTTTGGCTTCTACGCTGAGAGAGCAAGCAAGTCAGCATGGATTTGCTCCACGCAATGAAGGGTCGTAGATTTATTGGATGAATATACGCATTTGAAATCATCAACATAAACAGATGATTGAGAATGCTTAACTGCCGGTAAGATATCATTTATGTGCAGCAGAAACAAAAGAGGACCTAGAACGTTAACTTGTTAAACACAAATTACAAATGAGCTCTCATTGGAAAATGAAGATTCAACTAAAATCTTTCGTTTACGATTAGATAGATCTGACTTAATAAAGTCAATAAGGGACTGCAAAGTCCCAGCGCTTATTATTTAACTAAGAGTCGTTTATGTGGCACTCTATTCAAGGCTTTGCTAAGATCAAAATAGATAACAACAACAGATAAATGATCGTTACGAAGAGAACTAATTAAATTGAAAAAAGACATATGACACCTTTCACAAGAACGATCAGGTAAAAAGCCATGTTGGGAAGGGCTAATAACTTGATTGGCTATGCGAAAGTCAGCAACTAAACAAGGTTTCCCCGAAATAAATTTGAATAAGGCAAAGGCGACAAAGCATGCAGAATTTACTGACGTCATAAATTTCGAGACCTCTCATTCAGCTGCACACTGTCATCTCATAGATGTATGGATGCATGATCACCCGAGAAAAGACCAGATATGAATTCCTACAATCCTGCGACAGACTCGGACTTACCCTCACCAACTAATTACCACCCTCTGAAAGGAAGACCTGCGGTCCACACTACAAAACCTTGACCGTCTCACCCTTTCGAAAATAGAAGAATGCGAATACTCACTCTCTCATATGCGCTGCCAGCTAGACCAGAAAAAGCATGTAATGGACTCGGTGAGTCCATTGTGTTGGTTATTGTTTAAAAAATACGATCTTAACTTGCAAGCTAGGGTAAGACAATCATTCCATACTGATCTGATGAAGTCGCTAAATAAACAACCCGTAGACGAATCGTTTCCAATAAATCCAAAACATGTCGGATTTGAAACTGACTCAACTTTAAGTCGAGGCTTTCTCTTTAAAACTTAAGTTTTGCGTAGCAAGAGGAAAAATAGATCCTATATCACCAATTACCGGAATAAACATCGATGTCTAAGGACAGTGTGAAGTGGTTGCAAGCGAAATTCATAGGTAACGCCTATAAATACAGAACTTTCTCGACTACGCAACGCTAACTTCTAACTAGACAACATCTCTCGGCCTTAACTGACCTACGTAAGACTACTGAAGTCATCATCTTCAGACCTGACAAAGGAAGCGATGTCGTGATCCTAAACGCAACTGATCATGTGAGAAAGATGGAAGCGTTAGCGAGTGACTTCAGAAAATTTTCAGCGGAAACCCATGAGAAAGAAGAAACAAAAGCGATAGAAGACCTTGTTGGGAAAAAGGTAAAATTGTTACTCGAAAAGCAAATAATACACAAGAACATAGCTGCGCGTCTTAGGCCTGTGGGTTTGCATATGCCCAGACTATATGGACTGCCAAAATTGCACAAACCATGGGTACCATTACGACCAAATTTATCAATGAGGAATTCGCCTCAGCAAAAACTTGCCAATGGTTATTTCAACAAATAGAACCCATTAGACGCAACCTTGACGTGTACAAACGTGCCACTGGATGAAATAGTTGATATAATTTGTAAGCACGCGGGTACAACAGGTCTGTCACCAGCGCAACTGCGGAAACTACTGCAGATGTACACAAAGAACGTCAGCTCTTGTTCAACGGGTGGCTGTATCGACAGACCGACGGCGTAATTATGGGCAGTTCACTAGGGCCAGTTCTAGCGAACATTTTCATGTCTAATCTCGAGCGAAAACTAGCCCAGAACTTATAACGATTCTCAATCTATAGGCGATAGTTGGATAAGATTTTCTTCATAGTCAAAAACCCAGGCGACGGAGAACTACTACTCAAGGCTCTCAACGAAACACATGCTAAGATCAGATTTACGGCCGAACATGAGAAAACGAAACACTCACTTTCCTGGATATTCTTGTACGTAGGCGGACAGATGGCTCTATTCCTGGAAAGGACAATACATGCACTTCCTCAGTTTCGTTCCGATTCTGAAAAAGCGGAAGTTAGTTTGTGCCGTTCAACACAGCCACGAGAATCTGTTCCTCGGATACGCTTGAGGACGAAATCACTTTCCTAAAGAATGTTTTTCTTGCAAACGGTTATCTGAGAAATTCATCGATAAATATCCCCATCACAAGCAAGGAATTCCTGAAGAAATATCTGAACCAAAATATCCAGTGACCATCTACCTCTCCTTCAAGGGTGATAACGTGTCAAAGATGATCCAGCGACGACTTCGGTGCACAATCAAAAGGGCATATGCCGCCTCTAACTTGTTGTTCATAAGCACTACAGCGGCCATTCCAGTTAGATCAGCTAAAGACATTTTGCCTGTGCACGCCACATCAAACTGTATTTATGAGTTTGCATGTGGTTGCGGATGCAAGTACATTATGCGCACGTAAAGACATTTGGCAGCTCCGTCTGCTAAACGCATGCCGAAGTAGTTGATTAAGGCGGAAAATAAGGTTCCCAGAAGGTCAATTACAAAGCACCTAGTGGACAGGAGTCATGCGGTGGACCCAATGGTTGCATTCAAGGTCCTGCTTCGGGCGACGACCAGGTGTCTCTTGCGCTTTGCAGAGTCCGTTGCAATACGGAGGAGGAAACCAGAACTCTATAAGCAGCCGGACCACATGATAAAACTGACACTACCATGGTAAGGATAGATTATGGACGAAGCCCTGTTCCCATATACGCCCTCTCATTTCGCCCTCACCCCCTCCCCCTCCCCGGCATGACTGAATGCTGCTCTCACGTCGAACTTTTTATCACGCCTGATAAGTTCCCACTATAATCCTAACTCGCATGCTTTGATGACTTCTCTCTCCCCCCCTCGCCGTGAGCACCCGCATACTAGACCCATGTTTCAGGTTACCTATCACGTTTTATCTCTCTAGGTCGATCATTGATTGAACAGATTGCCTTGTCATATAATTATGTAATGACCGTGTGCGGCTGAATTAGAGGACTCGAAATTTATGACGTCAGTAAATTCTGCAAACTTTGACGCCTTTGCCTTATTGAAAGTAAGTATTATTCATTACGATCATTTTTTCAAATATTTTGGTGAGAAAAGGTGTTTAATGTGCACATCGATAACTTTGAACAACAGAACGACAGCCAGATTTAAACACTGCAATAGAAATAGAAATTTTCAGATCGTCAGGAAAGAAAACATTCAAGAGGAAGATTGAAATGAGTTTACTGGGCAGAGGAGGAACATCTCTTAGCTGCTTAATGAGAGAGTTCGGGATGTTGTCAGTTTCTACTGAGTGAGAGTTGGTAAGCTGGCTTATTAATTTCACAATATTTTCGGGAGCAAAATTAATGGCGTTAAGGGAGGCATCAGAGAACGGAAAAGTTAAAGGGACCAAATAAGTATCAATAGTGAACTATCAATAATAGTGAAAATGCGATTCCCAGGTGGAATATCAAAACAAAACGTGGCGTTCACAGGAAGGGGTTTATTTGAGGTACGACGTTTCCAGTAGTTCATTCGTCTACCCATCTTCAGAGACTGGGAAGTCCTGTGCACAGCTCCCCTTATAATGGCGCCCTTTGTTCAATGCGTGATCCGCCAATGCCGCCTGTGTGGCTGCATCCAACCCGCATGTCACCTTGACATGAATGGTCCCCGTCGACGACTATTCGAGAAGTACAAACCCAACTTTTGGGCACGCCACGTTGATGAAACCTTT